AATGACGATCCTAACTTTTTCAACTAATTGATTAATGACAATCGACTTTGATTTATCAAAATTGTTTGCTGTGAGAGAAAAAAAAAACAAGAAAATAACGTAGTGAAATATATTACGGCGAAGCAATTGCGTTTACACACAAGAGCAGGAGGAGACATATACAAAAGATCAAAGGAAAAACATACAAAACGATCAACGTCGCATGAGGAGACATAAATCCAAAAACACTCAACGGAATTAAGGCATAATAATATGTGTTTTGATCTAACTCACTTGAACATTTTACACGTACGGTTAAAAAAAAAAAAACACATGCATGTGCATAATAATACTTATCGATCTTATGAATTTGATGAAGGATGTATCGGAAGAGGTTGTGCCGGCGATTGTGGTGGGCGTGGCAATGGACCCCTCCCTGTTCTTATGCTTATACCTGCAAACATATATTAATTATTTATAATTTGCACTGCCTTTAATTTCCTTCTTTTTGAGAATCTCATGTTCGAAAAAATTACCACTATTGGTCAATCAAAATTAATGACAAATCGATAGATTTAAATATTAAATTTCTAACAAATTACATTGTTCATAAACTATAAAATAGTGTGATTATTTTTTAAAATTTTGTGGAATCCACTACATAGGAAATTCATGGAAATGGGTGTCCAAAATTAGTTTTTTCCATTTTTTTCTAAGTAAAAAGTAAAAAAATTTATCAAAAAATTTTTCACATGGAAGAAAACACCCTCAAATTCATCCATCACCTAATGTTGGTTAACTGTCTTTAAAATTACATATTTTCTTTTCATATCTATCTTTATTTAATAAAGTGTCTCAATTAAAAAATATTATTAACAGTAGCGAAGCCATGTGTTGTTGAAGGGGACTCACTCGGGAAAAATAACATATGGGGGTATGTATTTTTAGATTTTACAATTTGCTCCCTCTCTCTTTTATGCTTTGTACCTCTTTTTTTTACTCTTTTAAACTTTAAATCCATTTTAATCTTATATTTAGCCTATATTTAAAATTTAATTTTTTTAACTCAAAGCCTAGTGAATATTAGCACATGATTTCACCATACTTGAATATCAGTGTTATTTATTAATCCTTTAAAAAAAGAAGAAAAAAATAATTTGACTAAACTAGACCCATCTCATCCTCAACTTGAGAATACTAGTTAAGGACTAGTTAAAAAAAATAGAGAGAACAGAGAATGAAGATTCAAAACTCAAAAATAAATTCATTAAATGCCTTTCACTAGTAGCTACACTTGCAAGTTCGCAATTGAAAAGTAAATTAAGAAACAAAGATAAAGAAAGAGAAATAGTATACTTGAAAGAGACAGAAAGGTTTTCCTTATATCATAGTCTTAGCTCCGCCTCTCTAACCTAAGATCCTGACTCTGGCATTGGTTATTAATTATGCCTCTAAATAAGGGTTCTTAAAAAAAACTCATTAATTATACCTTAAAATATTAAAAAAATGCCCTATTTTTTCACATGGTATTTAAAAAATGTCATATAATATTAAATGGAGAGAGTACATTATATATTTATATATATAAGCTAAATCATAACTTTAGTCTTTTAATTTTATACAAAATTTTATTTTAATTTTTTAATTTTATAAAGTATTTTTTCTGTTCTTCAACCCTACTACTATTAGTTTCATTAACAAAAAAAATTTCAACATTAAACTTTTAAATATTAATAAAATATTATCAAATGTTGATACATTAAGTTTGATCTTTTAAAAATAATAAATAATGGATAGAAAATTAGAGGACTAAATGTGTGCTTTAATCATGTGTGTGTGTATATATATATATAATGGATCCAAAGTTACATACCTACGCGTGCATGCGTGTGCTGCATGAAAAGAGTAGAGGAAAAAAGTAGCAGCAGCATCAGAAAACGGTAAAAAGAAGACACAGCCATGGATGACGGATCTCTATTCCTTTTCTCTGATATGCCAATGCTATAGCTTTCAGCTTCGTCAAGTTCAAATTTATATATAGATCTTAGTATCTAGAACACACGGATTAAACTTACACTCGGGTTTTGAACAATCAACCAACTAATGCACTTACTTTCAAACCTTTTCTTTTCCCTGGAATAAAATACTGGAAATCATTGAAGAGTCAAAATAATACTACAGCAGATCAATAAGGTCCAAAAAAAAAAAAATCGCGTTTAACACGTGTATCTTCAAACATGTAATTTCGCAGAAACCCATTAATGAAAAGTAACACGCTTAGGGAGTCACATTCAACTGACGCCTACCAAGAAAAAGAAAATGCCAATATTTGACTTTCGCTTCAATTTTGACCCATTCAAATACTTCTCTCCCTGATAAAAATTAAGAAAGCCCAGAAAATGACCGAGACAATTTTAACAGTTTAATATAAATTCAGATATTAAGTTAAAATTAATTATAAATTTGTTGTAAAATTTCCGAATTTTTCTAAATTATCCTCACTGAAAGTAAATAAATATGTGAAGTTAATGCTTTAGAAAATTGAGAGTCAAAACCAACGACATCCTAAGAAAAAATAATTAATGCTTTAAACAACTTGAACAAATTAAAGTCATATAATAAGGGATCATTGAGAAAGATCTCTAGATCTTACAGAAATAATACTTCACCAATTTCAAAACCGTGGCATTTAGTCAAACACAGTTGAATTGCGTTCATCAAAAACCGCGTATATGATGATAATATTTGGTACAATCCAAACATTTGAGTGCAAAAACGACTTTGATTAGCTCTTACCATTAAAAGAACGAACGAACGAACGAAACGTGTTTATTTTTACAGAACTATATCCGTTGGAATATTTTGAATTCTGTTTTGTTCAATTGAAGCTTTGACTATATAAGTAAAAGAGATCGAGTTTGTATAAAAATTGGGGTTCACTTCTATGGTGACAAAATTTGGACTTTGATTTTTCAGACTTGATACTACCACGATCACTGATCCTAATAGACGGAAATTACAAAAAAGACTAAAGGAACAATGAAGTTCTAAAGGAACTATTCACTAATCAACTAGCTTAAAACAACATATATATAATAACAGCCAAATTAAAGCATTAACAGTAGAGTTCATAAAGAGAAGATAGAAAAGGAGCAAAAGATTTAGAGAGGAGAGAAGCAGAGTTAGTCAGAAGATTGTTCACAAGTTTCTCGACCCTTTTCCGTTGCTCTTCTTCATCTTTTATTTGTTAATCCCATTCCCAGATTTCTACTCTGGATTTAAGCCCATTTAATAAGGATTTGGGCTCATTCTTTTCCTTGGGCCCATTCATGCCACAAACTCCCCCAATAAGCCCTTGTTTTCAAGGTCCAAGGATGTACAAAAAAAGAACTTGAAAAGAACTCAAGGATGTACGAAAAGGTGGATCAAGACCATTCCAAGATATCAAAATGCGATAGACCCATAAAAACCAATTTAGCAACCAAGAGTGACTAGCTCTTCGTACAATGTCAGAAAAATGCTGTAGCTCCCATTGTAAAAGTTAAACCAATAATATCTCTTGAAAAATCCTCAGGGTCCAAGGATCCATGCTTTAACAGAGTGCAAGGAGGCTTTGAAAGCCCACTGACTATACTAGAGATTGGATAGATGTGGCAATCAATGCGAAGTCCATTTATGATTTTAGATGTGAGAATATGGGCCAACCCAATCCATATAAGTTAACTCGCATGAGTTAAAAGAAAGATGAATTGAATTGAGTTTAAACTATTTTTATATGAATTGAAAAAATTTCAACCCAACCCAACCCTTAAAGGTTAGCAGGTTAAATGGACCAACCCGTCAACCCATTTTTTTTATTTTTTTATTTTTTATGATTTTTTAAAAAAATATATTTAAATAATAAGTTTCAATTTAATATTTCTTCATGATTCATTCTAAATATATCAAAATATTATTTTATAATGTTTGTACAAAATATATAAATTGATACAACTAAATAAATCATGCCTAATATAGTTTATATTCACAAAATTTTTTCTTTTTTTTTATTTTTGAACAGTAATATGAGTTAAACAGGTCAACCCTAACCCATTAAAGTTAACCCATATAGTTCACAAGTTATATGATCCAGGCCAGAAAACACTCATTTTTATTTGGGTCAATTTTTTTTCAACCTAACCTCACCCTTATGACCAGTTATTTAGGCCAACCTATATAATCCGACCCATATTCCTAACTCTATATGATTTTAATATCTCCTCTTTATACTATGATCCAAACAATGCCTAGATGTTTTACTTCCATGTCACAGCCATTCCATGTAATTTCAACTTTGAAAGAAATAAGAATATGCATCTACACAAATTTAAGTACAGTGGAGGATTCGATGGCAAAATTCCTCAACACTGTCATCAATATTATATACTCCACCCTTGCATTTGGGTCCCACGTGTTCTTGCAATACACAATTGCTTTGTTATAGTCATTTCCTTCAACAAAGTAATGGACCATGTAGCAAAAATTCCTAGACCCCAAATGTGACAAGCAGCATGGAAAAACAGGGAATTTAGATAAACTCTATTGACATGCAAATCATGTGACAATCACTATTACCCAAAAAAAAAACTTTTTAAAGTTTTTATTTTTACCTTTTGAAACGTTTTGAAAACATTCCGAAAGCCAAAGCTCCCATATATACGAGAGCGTTTTAAAATCGCTCCTACAGACAAGGCCTATGGGAGCATTTTAGGTTAGAAAACCTCCCGTAGGCCCACCTTGTGAGAGCTTTTACATGAAAAAAAAACTCCTGCATGTTAGGCTGGAGGAGGGTTTTTTTTTTTTTTTCATGTAAAGACTCTTAAAGGGTATGCTTATCAGAGCTTTTTTATTAAGAAATGCTCTCATAGGACCCCTATAGGAGTTTTGCTTTCTCGAAATGCTCCTGTAGGTCTATTTAAAAAAACAACAAATTAATTCATTTATTATTCCTTGCATGCATTATATGTCATGACCAATATACAAAAAAATAATAATAATAATTAATGCAATTATACAAGCAGTAAGAAATTTCAGTATATATACAAGAGATCAACAACTAATTTCAATCCTACAATATACATGATTATAATGTAAATTGCAATCTAAGAATTTAAACCCATTTTCAATACTCCCATGCTTACATGGTACAAACAACTTCATCTAACACCATTCTTACTTAGTTGAAGAGTACCCAATCATATTCTATCTGCAAAAAACAAAGAAAAATAATTTAGTTAAATCATAAATGTCATATTAATTATGAATAAACTCACCTGTTCAATAATCATAATAAGGAGAATCATAATACATGATCGGCAATGCATTTTTCTATTATGCTTTTCCTTCTTTAAAAATTAATAATAATCATAAAAAATAAAGGAATTAATACATGATGACTTTGTCATGAACTTGTCTGAACACTTTTTTTGAATCACAATCCCAGAGTTCAGACCAGGACAGACTAAAAGGTTCTAAAAAAAAATAATTAACAAAGGAAAAATTAGGGATAAAACTATGTGATGATTGTGTTTAGCTGCTGCAGGAAAAAATCGCTATTTAGCAGGGCGGGCATGGAAGCATGAAACAATGACCAGTCCTTTGGGGACATACAATAAAATTAGAATGATAAAGGGAAGATTAGCATGACCTATGTGAAAGGATGACATACATAAATCAAGAAACAATTGTGAAAGGATGACATGCATAAATCAAGAAACAATGACAAACTGAAGCACCTACTTTCCCAAACATTAAAATGCTGAATGATGCAGCTCAACAGCACCACCTGATAGAGGGGAATATGGGCACAAGTAACCAGCACTTACGGTGCTTTCTACACTAACGTTGCTTAGGTGATATGACATTTAAAGAAAGAAAGAAAGAACTATGATGCTAAGCCCTATATTGGAATCTTGTATCGAAGACAATGTCTTTCTGCTTAACAATAGTACAATACTCTATTTTACATGGCTTTTTTTTTTTTTTTTCTTTTCGCTTAGCTAATCTCAAGATTGCCTAAAGCATGTTTATTCAGGAGAATACCTGTCCATATGCAAACATACAACTATTATATCCCGAGAGGCAGTTCTCCACCATCGGTAGACCAGCCATTCTGAAAAGAATTTCCTACAAAATCACAAATTTGAGAGAGAAATAAATAATTTAATACAAATAAATTTCTTTACCGAATTGTTTTTGAGATGTTATCATACCTGATCTATTGTTTCAATAAACTAAATCATAAAACCATTCAATACCAACTGCCTAACTAATTCTCAAATTTATGATTGATCACTATAAGACGTAAAGTTGGAAAATAGCAAGAAATTCTTGAGATTTATTATCAAAATTATTATTAACTTATTGGAAATATCATAGCCAGCAACCACTAAGTAATTAGGAAAGAAGAAGAACAAAACAACAACCATATCATGCTTTAAAAAAAAAAAATCAGATTAATAAATCTAAGTATTAGACTCATGAGTTCTGCCCCATTTATATGAACAACAAAAAACGCACAAGAATTGACTTTGAAAGCAAGAGAACTAGCTAGGGAAGGATGAACATGACATTCCATTAGAAAACATATTCAATTTTCTTCAGCATCATGTCTGATTCTCAACAAAGCCCACAAGGCCAAATAACTACAACTTCTCCAGCTGCATAAATCTCATTACTATCAGATCTATTGGATCTGCTTAACATGAGAATAGAACAGAGCGAAAATAACAAGGGAAGAACATTGGGCACATGAAACTTAATGGAGAAAAGGTAAAGATAATCAACTACAGTCCAACCAAAAATAAAAGAAGTTATAGATATACACGCAACAGCACTTCCTAGAACCATGCAATCGGTGTCGTGGCTTCCCTTCAACAATCTAAAATAGTAATGATTATATAATTAAAGGTTATCCCAGTTAAGGAGCACAAAGACTATAATTTACAGATAGCAACACCTCTTGCTCATCCTTCTCTCCATCCCCCCCTGTTTTATTATTCTCAACAGTATTACAAGCATTATAATTGGAGAAAGCTGAACATCAAACTCTAAATCAAACAAAACAGGACACGCCAATGCAGGGGGCAGGCACCAGAGAGAGATATCGGACTCCCAACGTCAAAATCAGACAAAAATCGAAGGGTATACAATAAATCAGACAAATGTATGATGGAATCGAAGGTAAAGCAAACAGCAAAATCAAACAAAAATGCAGTCATATTGGAGAGCTTAAACAAAAATAGTTTACAGTGACGCATATTGAAGCTTTACGAAGAGATCCATTCATTAAGCAAGATGCGTAACTGGAAATATTTTAGTTTATTCAATATGCGTTTATTCATCCTTCAGTTCGCACCTTCGACCGCTAATGCCCTTCATATTGAAGAAATGGTTGCAGTGATTGAAGGGTTTGGCGTGCTTAACTTGGGTTTTCTTGTCTTGAGCTTCAATGGTCGGCGGATCAATCAACTCCATAAAACGTGTAGAAATTGCTCACGAGTCAGCAGTAGAACTCTTGGAGACTTTATCGGCCAACTTGGTGAAATAATTACTGTCGGTAGTTTCTATTATATCACGAGCTTCACTAAACAAAAATGGTATCACTAGACTTGTTGACGTTGAAAGCTCATCTTCAAGCCCTAAGTGATGTTTAATCGCATTAACTATAGCCTCAATTCGGTCGAAGCGATGCTCATGTTGCTTCCAAGTGAAGAAGCCACAAAGCTTTTGGGTCTCTTTAGCCACTTGTTTAATGGCTTGGTGTAGCTCCTCAAGCTCCATCTCATCATGTTATTAGCCATTGAGGCAGAATTGATTCTCTAAATGAAAGCACTTTTTTTACGATCACCGGCCATGACAGGCAAAAATTACAAAAAAGACTGAAGGAATGATGGAGTTCAAAATGACCTGAAGCTTCAATCTAAACTTCAACTTTTAAACAAAATCAACACATATGAAGCTGGATGGAATTCACCAAATATTGATTGGGTTACATTAGATGTTGACAGTCCAGTCAATCTTAATACTGTAGCTATTTATGGAGGCCTCATCAAAGATGAAAAGGATAACTAGATTAAGGATTTTTTCAAAAATTTTGGCTATCAACCTAACATAGGAGCTAAACTTAGAGGGATATTGGAAATAATAAGCCTTTGTTGGAATGTTAAGATTTTCAGAATTAATGTTTGCTTAGATTTTATGAAAGCTCTATCCTTCATTGAATGCAACACCTCTCATAGCCATACTCTCTCAGCAATTATCAAGAACATCAAAAATCTCACCATAAGGGAGTAAAAATTACTTTTAATTATGTTTATAGAGAAGCTAATAGATGCATAAAATTACTTTTGATTATGTTTATTGAGAAGCTAATAGATGCATCGATCTTCTTGCCCACAAGGCCTTGAGAGAGAATTTTGATGTTAGCTATTTCATAATCCACTCATGGATTGTAGAAGCCTTATGACTTTAGATATAACCTGATCATAGTCTCTTTATATGGTTTTTAAGGTGACCTTGTTTTTTCAAAAAAAAAAAAACGGAAACATTCACTAAGCAACAAGCTTAAAACAACATATATATCCGATAAAAGCCAATTACAGCCAAACTAAAGCATTGACAGTAGAGTTCATAAAGAGAAGAAAGAAACAAAGCAAAAGATTTAGAGAGAAGCAGAGGCAAAGTCAGAAGGAAGATCGTTCACAAATTTCCTGACTTCTTTCCATTGCTCTTCTTCAACTTGTCAATCTCATTCCCTGATTTCTACTACGGACTCAGGCCCATTCAATAAGGCCTTGGGCTCATTCTTTCCCTTGGGCACACTCATGATAGATGCTTTCGAATATAATGTAACTTAAATTCGATATTAATACTTAACTATAAATTAGTAAAACAAAATATTGTATATATTTATTATAACATTAGCTCCGCTACAAGCATGATTTAACTTATTTTTTTGTGATTGCCCTTTTACCAGATCCGTCTTATCCTTATCTATTCACTCTTCTGACATTTCCAATTCAGGACTAGTTAATTGGATTTTGGAAACTTCAGATAAACTTTGCCCAGGCCAATAACTCCAAGTTCGGGAAGGTATTTTTCTTCATCATATGATTTGGCTAAAAAGTAACATTGCTTTACATAGTGCTTCCGACAGACTCCAATACACAAGCGATTAGATAATTTCATGGTCAATTTTATTTTTCTAGAATCTGCATGTGAATGGAACTCTGAAACAAATAAGATGCAATCAGAAATCACTTGTAACTAAATCGATCAGCAGTCATATAAGTATCATTCGGATCTTGACACTGGGTCAAGCTACATCGACCCTGGATTGGGAAATATATATCACCAAGTTCAAAAAGAGAGGATTTTCAAGTTGTCCAGCTATTTATCAAACTAAATGATGAAGAGTTGCAGTGCCTCTTGATCACAAAATCCAAACAGATGAATCCACACCAATTTTTCCCTGAATGTACGAGATTGATCCTGTTCTGGATCCAGGCTTATGCACGAAACTCCATTGCAGTTACATCAGTTGGGTAAACTTCGTGTGAGTTTTCAAAAAGGCCACTGTATTCGACCATCTGAGCAAAAAGGTAATGAATAATATGATTTGTTATATATTTGGTTATATGTACTGATAAATTGATGATGGTATATTGATATAGTATGTGATTTAGTGTGTATAAAAATCATCAGATTCCAATAGCAAATGATTTAATTACCTTTTTTTTATGTTTTCTTTTACTTTGATTTCGTCTCTTGTCCCTTCATTATTATTTAATATTCCTTTCTTCAATAAAATGAAAAATATTCTTTTCCATTAGCACCTCTGGTTTTGTTATGACTTGACTAATAGTCAAAATTATAATCTTATGGACCACATCAATGGATATTATATTATGCAGTAGCCCATTGTTAATTAACTTCAGATATTAGATTTCTGAGTCATATAGACTAGTGAATTACACATGGATTTCTTACTGCAGGAGTAGACCTACATGCTTCTATGAGTAGACAAATGTCTCCACTGACTTTGGAAAAATTTACAAATAAGTAACATATAAGTTTTGAATATTTAATTTGTCCCCACTATTTATATAATTTTAAACCCCCTTAAGTCATTTTCGATTTTTTTTCTACACATTTTACGTTTTATACAATTTATGCCCCCACTTGTCTATGCGTCCTCCTTGCCCTGTGCCCCAACGTCAAGGTGTTGGGATTCAAACGTTAATACAAAATTTTCATCCCTTGGAGTTGAGCTTGAATATATGATTTCCCCAATCCTCACCTTTTTTATGAAGTCAATGAAAAATTAATATTAATGAGTTTATATAGTTAAAGTGACCATTTAAGAAACTGAAAAGGAAAAAAAAACTGTCTTTTTTAATTTCTTACATACTCCTTTTAATCCTATTTATAACACACTTTCTCAAAGTTATTTTTGATTTAAAATATAAGACACTTTTTAATATTTAAATTATTTTTTTCAATCTTACCCTCCCTTGATTAGTGTGAGAGTATTTAATATTTAATGTAATTGTATCTTTATTTCAAGTAAAGGGTAAAAATAAAAGTATATTTTATTTTTTCAAGATATCAAGAAAACAAAACTTTTTTCTTAATATATATAAAATGTTTGAAAATATCCTATAATAAAAACTGGAGGGAGTACATCTATTGTTTCTTTCAACTATATTACTATATATATCCTGATTTGTGTAATTATTAAATCTAATGTTAAGGGCTTTATGGTTTGACCAAAAAATAAAACGGCTTTATGGATCTGTAATTATTTGGGATGAAGAAAAATTCACGTCACAAAAAAATTACAACATCAGAATGGCATATATATCCTTGTACATATATGCGACTCATACAAGAGCACTGAGCTTGATGAGAAGCAAGAAGACAATGTAAAAAACCATGGATCAATTTATTCATGCATAGATACATACACATATATGAGGAAACAAAACCCCTAGACTAAACAAACAAACAAACAAGAAGTACATATTTTCATCCCAGCCACTCCCGGTCCCAGACCAGACAAGACAAAACTCACATATGATCTCTATTATATATATCATTCTCTTGATTATTCTGGAAAATTTCTAATGCTTCGGTGGTCGATTAGATGCCTCTGGTGAAGGTGGTGCACGTGGCAATGCACCAGCCAGTTTTCTCATGGTCGTCATCTCTGCATCATATGTATATATAGTTTCAACTCTCCATGATCATTACTGGTTATCTTAAAATTATAACATGTACTGCCTTTTTATAAAAAACTTTTTCTCTTCCAATTCGCTGTGTGTGTGTGTGTGTGTGTGAGAGAGAGAGAGAGAGAGAGAGAGAGAGAGAGAGAGAACTAGAGATGCATACCTGCACAGGCATGGGAGGACAGCGTGAAAAGAGAGATGGCAAGAAGAAGAAGAAGAAGAAGCAGAAAATGGTAAAGACGCATCGATCTCTATTCTTCTTATTTGTGTTTGATATGCTAATTCCAGTTAGTTGGCTATAGGCTTTATATACGGCATTCAGATAATTAATGATTTGTTCAAAAGAAAAGTAATCTTGGATTTGAATATATAATCAAGCATATGCATCTTCAAACAAACAATTTTACAGAAACCCCCCATGGCAAAAATTAAGTGGTTGAAATTGACGTAAACCCACAAAATCAAATTATAATGTCAACCTCTGAGCCAATGAAAACCTGTCCTTAGATAGCCTGAAAATTGACCAAAAACAAATTTGATAATTAACTAATAAAAACCTTTAACAAATTCAAAACCATGATTTTTTTTTATTACGCACAGGTGTCTTCTTATAATAAAGGCAATCATATTTAATGTATAATTGGACACTAAAAGTGAACATTTCTCTAAATAAAAATTTAAATATTAGTTCATCATATTATAATAAATTATTTTTTTAATTAGACTCAATCCCACTGGTTGAAAAGCATGATTTTATTAATTTATGCCGGCACGCCTTCAAATTCATGATGAAACCGCGTAGAGGTGAGGTCATCGCTAAATTTAAAACAACGGTCAATATGATAATATATAGAATTCACACCAACCCCATTACTTATGATATTAGTCGTCCTCATAATTACTTGCGATTTTTTTCCACATTGTCGCCTGTGAGTTGAGTTAGCACTTAATAAGAAAAAGACAAATATATTTTTTAAAGTTGTTAACTTTATTTGTTTGGGTTCCATCCTTTGTAATTCCTTTGGCCCCTATTCCATTCAGGTTTTGCCCCTTAAATTAAGTGCCAAAAAAAAACTTTAGGCCTTAGAATTTATATTCATAGATGGGAAAAAAGAATATCCTTTGGCATAGTTGTAAAAAAAAAAGAAAAAGAAAAAGAAATACGAATCTGATCAATTGCAGTTCTGTTCTATTGAATCTGTATGGCCAACCCAGTTTTGTTCAATTAAAGCATGGAATTTTTTTTTTTTTGGCCCAACAGAGCTTGGATTTTATATTTAAATATAAAGTAGTCCAGTTACGGGTTAATTAGGGTTCACTTATGTAATAATGTGACAAAGTTAGACATTGATTTCAAGACAAACAACACCTTAACATAACATCACATAACATAAGACAAGACAGGAAATGTAAGAAAAGATGAGATAATATTTAATTTCAGTGCTTAGCTTTGAAGTCAGTGCAAAACGGCATTAATTAGGTTAATTAATTAGATTGAGCTCAAAAAGAATGTGTATTTGTCTATATCTTGGCTGTATGGATATATCTTCGAATTATTCCCTCTAATCTTTTTTATAAGTCACATCTAGTATATATTTAACTAAAATTAAGAAGAATCTTAAATATCATTAATTATGACTTAAAATTTAATAAGTCTATACCCTTACTGTTAATAAGAACAAAAGAAATTATTTTTAATAATTTTTTAGCATGTAATAATGATAAAAAAGTGAAGATGAATATAAAAAAGTGTAAAGTACTTTATAAGATTAAAATTAATCTTTTCTCTCCACTATAAAAATAGAATCACATGAGTAACTCACATCATGTGAATGCTAGAGGCTATACTTCCACAAATTCATATGACTCTAATTAAGTTTGAAGAAATGAACATAATATTCATAGTATGAAAAGAATCTTCTCCATCTTTAATTAATTACTTTCTACCTGTTCAATTTTACTCCCTCTGGTCTTTAATATATGTAACTTTCTAATTTTACTCCCTTTTGCAATGAATGATCATAGTGAATTGTTGTTTAGGAATTCAAACAACAATAAATAAACAAAAGATAAAATTAGACAAAATATTAATTCCTCTAACTTAAGACTAAAAAAGCTTTTAAAATTTGCTTTGTATGAAGAAAGAGAGTAGAGTCCAATTACATCGGTCTGTGTATAAATGTTTGTGAGCTTGTGTGCGTTGTTGCACTCAGTTTAATGGAAAAAGTTTGGAAGAAAATGGTGAATGAAGATTGTATAAGCATATTGATCTATAAACACAAACCAGTTCCTTAAACAGTCCAGTTGAAATTCACCGAGAGCAAATTTAATTTTTTAAAAAGAATTAACTAATTTTAACTAAATTTCTTAATTATGCAAAGTTGTCAGGGGTAGAAAGATGTGAGGGAGTACACATTTACAATCTTTTTTGACTGAACCAAATAAGCAAATAAAGATTCCAAGAATCCTTCCTTTGGAGGGGGAAAAAGAATTACAGTGGAAAATTTTGATATGTTCACTTGGAGTTGAGCAGATTTCCCCACCTTTCAGAGTCAATGCAAGACTAAAAAAAAAGACTTTATTTTTAGTTAAATCAACCATTCAAAAAGAAAAGAAAAGTGCCTTTGTTTACTACGATATATATTGCTGGTTATTTCAACTATATTGATTTTAAATAAAATATATATTGCTTTAAGAGTCCAGTTCTTTGTGATGAAGAAAAAGTCAACTTATTAATACAAAACAAAACAATGACATATCGTTCTGCATATGGATCCCCACAATCTGTAACTTACAAGACTACTGAGCTTGAGAAGCAAGGAATAAATTAATTAAAAGGAAGGATAAGAACATACACATGTGTGCATATATTTAGAATAATAAAACTTTTGGTACTTTAAGTTATCTCAATTGTTGATTTGATTTTTGAAGTTTAATTTTTATTAATAAAGTCTTCTAAGTTTTATAATCATATACAATTAATCTTATAATCCGGTAAAATAATACCATATAAGGACTCCATGTCCTTGAAACTTTAAGGATTTGATTGATAAAAATCAAACACCAAATTGATATAAATGAAGCAGGCTTAAGTGACCACAAAATTTATTATCTCTGTATATTCTAACAAACAAGAACTATTTATTTTATTTTCATTATCGGTACTCCATCAAGACTGGACAAAACTCATCTGTCTCTCTTGATGTCTTGATTGGAAAATCTGTACAGCTGTGGTAGAGGAGATCAATCAGGGATGCAATGGAGGGGGATATAATGGCTTCCTCGGATCAGATGGTTTTGGTGGACGTGGTGCACCTCCCAGTTTTCTCATGCTCCTCATATCTGCATCATACATTTACAGACAGAGGGATTCAAAACTCCCTTATTGATTATTTAAATTTGCACTGCCTTATTTTTCTTTCTCTCTTCCAATTTGGTGTATATGTCATGAGCCCCACATCATGAAGCCTCACAAATAGATTAAGGTTTAAAAGTTTGAAGGGCTCTCTCATCTAAAAAATTAGTATTTTGAAATAAACTCTCCTTTTAAAGGATCCTGATTAGCAAGAAACTATGCAAATGAAGTGAAATTTATAAGTGTAAAGAGATCTTTCGCCCATGCTCATTATTTAGTGTGTGTAAGTGTGAGAGAGATAGATAGAGATGGATACCTGCACTAGCATGGGAGGACAACATGAAAAGAGAGATGACGACACTAAGAATGAACCGCAGAAAATGGTAGACAGTAGTAGAGACACCCATTGTTCTCTAATGCTAATGCTATAGTTGTCTGTGTTTTGTTTTATATAATTGGGGTGCGGATTTATAGATTTATTTTTTGAGAAAAATATACTTGGACTTGATTATTCAATCAGTCCACACACATACCTCCTCAAAGAATTTAAAAAAAAATAATTATTTAGTTCCTATGATTTTGACTCAGTCTTGAAAAATTAGAAAGCATGGAAATTCGACACGGCTTTAATAATTAACTACTCATAAACTTCAACAAATTCACAACCATGGTTTTGATTTATGCAAGTACACCTTTAAATTGTCAATGAAACCGCGTCCGTGATGTAGTCATCACCAAATTTAAAACAATTGTCAATATAATAATATATAGTTTACTTGAAGCCGCATTATTTATGATTTTACTTAGGCGAGAAACTAACGTATTTTTGAAGTTATTAAAATCATGGATCCCATCCTTTATCAATTATTTGCCTTTATTCCCACGAATCAGATGGAGAAATTTGAAATGTCTAAAATAATATTTTGATTGATTGATTTAAATTTAAATTTTAAATTCAATATCTGATACTTAAAATCTCACATTTAAGATTCACGTATTTAAAATATTTTATTTGAATAATGTAAAAAAAATTTAGAGTTAAAACAGAGACAAAATAAGATTGGAAGCAGACATCGACAATTAAAATGTGAAAAAAAAAAAAGAGAATAGAAGTGACTAAAATTTTAAATAACTAGAGCTAAAAAAAATTTAAAATTATAAATAAGTTAATAAAACATGAATTTAAATATACTTTTACGTATTTAAGAAATTTGATTCAAATGTAAATAATTATATATCCAAACACAGTAGAATTTCCGTTTCGCTATATATGGTTAACAGAATCAAAAACAAATAAACAGCCTGATCCATTGAAATACTTTGATCCACTAGCTTTGTTCACTTTTTTTATTGATTAAATTTACCATTAAACTCAAATGGTCAATACCAAACATATTTTTCGTATACCTATTTCCATTTTATTCTTGTCTCCATTTCTTAAAAACTCTTCTTTTCTAAAGCATAGCCTTAATTTTTAAATTCATACGCCTTCAATCCTATTTATAAGTTACTTTCAACATATTTTACCAGAGCCAAGAAAAATTTTGAAACTCATTGACTCTCTTAAAATTTAATAAATTTTTAACTTTGTCCCTATTAAATATACATATTTCAACAATAATTTTCTTTCTCCAATATTTAATGGAGGGTAAAAAAAATTGTGATTAAAATTTAATGACGTAATTTATAAATAAGACTAAAAATTATCTTCTCTCTGTCCTATAAATAAGATCAAAGGGAGTCGATCAAATGCCATTTATTTAAAAGAGATTTTAAAATGTTTCATTGATTTGATGTTTAATAATATTAAATAATCAAGAAAAATGAAAGATCTCAAACAAACATTAATATATTAATTCGAATAATAAGAATTGCATTTGTGGTGGATAGTCAAATTAAATATTAAATTATATATATTTAATTATGTGCGTAAACATTTGTTAAAAATAAATATATTAAT